TTGTCTTCTGATCTGCTCTCTTTACCATTATTGCTGTCATTTTTGTGATCTACACTACACATCATGTCTCGAATGTGGGAGGTTGATCCAGAAACGAAGGCCAAGGTATGCATCTGCCTCCCCGTTTTGCGGCGATTGTGTCATATCGAGATAAAACTAGGCTGACTCTGATAATTCCTCTAATTAGCTTCTTCAAATCTCCAAGACGAATGGAAACGACAAATGTTGCGACTGCGGTGCTCCTTCGCCCCAATGGGTTCGTCCACTCTTTGACCTCACGTCAACCCCCGCACCATTGCTTCAATATACATAGCTGGATAGTTGGGCAATAGTCTGACCTAGCGATCCTGTCTAGGCGTCACCTAAATTCGGAACCTTTATCTGCCTCAACTGCGCCGGCACGCATCGTGGATTAGGTGTGCATATCTCCTTCGTCCGCTCCATCACCATGGACGCATTCAAGACCTCCGAGATCCTACGCATGGAGAACGGAGGCAACGACCCCTGGAAGACATTCTACGACAACCACCCAATCACCCAGTCCGAAGGCCGGACCTTCGAAGACTCAACCATCAAGGAACGGTACGAAGGCGAGGTCGGCGAGGAATGGAAGGAGAGACTCTCCGCCACCGTCGAGGGCCGCGAATACGTCCCCGGCCAACCGAAGCTCAAAAAACCAGCCGCGGAGCCATCCACATCACGGTCGAGCACGCCATTCACGAACACGAACAGGGGCAGCGGCAGCGGCGCCGGCTCTCCCGCCTCGCACGATGGTCTCGACGCCGCCGGCGCGAACAGGAAAGATCGCAACGAGGCATACTTCGCCAAGCTGGGGTCCGAGAACGCAACGCGCTCGGCCTCCCTGCCGCCCTCACAGGGCGGGAAATTCACCGGCTTCGGCGGCGGCATGCCCCCCACGGCAGGATCCAAGACATCTCCCCCGCGCGGGGCTGTGCCGGGCCTAGACGAGTTCCAGAAGGATCCGGTCGGCGCGCTAACGAAGGGGTTCGGCTGGTTTACGACTGCTGTCGGGAAGAGCGCGAAGACCGTGAACGAGATGTATATCCAGCCTACGGCGAAGACGGTACCTTCCCCAGCAACTGTCCCATATGGGAAACGTTAGGCTAATGTGTGTTTTAGTTAGCTGAATCCGAGTTTGCGGCCCAGGCGCGGCTCCAGGCCGCGCAGCTGGGGCAGAATATCCAGGTTGGCGCCCGCGGCGCCGCGGACCATCTGACTCGGTTCGTTGAGGGTCCTGATGATGGCGCTGCGGCGGCGGCCCGGCGGCGCCAGGAGCCCGAGCGGAAGGATTTCTGGGATGAGTTCGCATCCTTGGGGGAGCAGGATACTCACCGCCGGAACACGTCGCGGTCGAGTGCGATCGGGACGACGGCTATCAGGCCTAGTGGTGGTGGGCCGAGTGGGGGACCGTCTGGTGCTGGGTCTGGGGCTGCGACGGGGACGGCGTCTTCGGGTAAAAGAGGGGGTGAAGAGGGAGGGTGGGATGATAATTGGTAGGTTGGCAAGTATGTACTTGCTGGTCGTGGTTGTTCTTTGATGGTTTAGAGTACCGATTGTCATTTTAATGAGCGTTTTATCTTGCTACATGCCAGCAGAGACGGCAAGCATATCTCCACCTGCTATCTACAAGTACATACACATACATTTTATCATGAGTAGTAGAGTACGTAGTATACATTTTTATAGTACAGCAGGGGGGTGCGCTGGAGCTATTAATAAAAGCCTCCGCGTAACTCCGCCAGCACAGCCTTCTGCCTCTGCGCGCTCATAACCTCGAACCGATCGACAGACATCACGAACGTGCCCCGACCCGCACTCAGACTGCGGAGATGCTTCAGGTATCCCACCATCTCCTTCAGCGGCACCTTTGCTGTGATGGTGCGGGGCCGGTTCACCGCGGTGGGGATCTCGACGCCAACGGAGGGCGTCCCGAAGGGATCAGGGGGCGCGTAGATCCGGCTCTGGTCGATGATGACGGGTTCTTCGGCGCCGATGGATGTGGGCGAGACATCGGTACCTGTGATAGGGATGTCCTCGTCGAGAGAGACGATGTGGCCGCCGCGGGAGGCGGAGATGTCGTGGACGATGGCTCCGAGACTGGCTTCGTCGACGCTGATGATGACGTTCATGACGGGTTCCATGAGCGAGGTTCCTGGTCTTGGCTTGGTGGGCGAGGGGAGGAGGTCGCGGAGTGCGGCGGATGTGGCGAGGCGGGCTGCGGCGGAGAGGGCGGAGGGGGTGGTGTCGGTGCCGAAGATGTGTGTGGCTGGGTCGAGGGTTAGAGTAACGCGGGTGCTGTGCATGGGGAAGGTGAATTGGGGCCCGCGGGCGAGGGCAGCGAGGCAGCCGTTTTGCAGGGCTGCGCGCAATGTGTGTACGTCCAGGCCAGGTGGGAGGAGGGGGCTCTCCTCGGTGCCTTTCTTGGTGCGTTCGATTTGGAGGTCGGGGGCGAGGATGACGATTTGGTTCCCGTCGCGGGTCTCGACAGCGAGAGCGTCCGGCTCAGGGGCGGACGATGTGTCTAAGTTGAATGGCTCGACTAGGGCCGTGCAGCCGGCTTTGCCCTTGCGGCCGGCGATCTCCTTGTCGAAGATCTTGGTTACGGCGGGGGATGGGCCCAGAGGCGTTTCGCGGTAGCCGATCTCAATGCGGCCCATGGTTGCCTTGGCCTTGAGATCGTTGATTAGGCGATCCCGCGCGATCTCCAGATGGAGCTCGCCCATTCCGCTCAGCAGGGTCTGCCCGGAGTCCTCGTCGACGGCAACATGGAGACTGGGGTCTTCGCGCAGGAGGAGGGCGAGACATTCCTGCATCTTCTTCTCTTCGCTCAGACTGTGCGGCTCCACGCTGGCGAAGAAGACGGGAGGTGGTACGTTGATGGGCCGCAACTGCAGGGTATTGAGTGGATCTGGCGGTGTCGCTTTGTTCCCCGCGTACGAGACGAGGGTGTCACCGGTTCGGGCGTGTTTGAGGCCTACCACGACGCCAATGTGTCCTTCGGGGATCGAATCAACCTCCACCGCATCGTTGGCGTACATTTTGAGTAAGCGCGGGGCGCGCTCCGAGACGTTGAGGTTAGTGTTGAACAGGATGCAGTTGCGATCCAGGGATCCAGAGTACACCCGCACATATACCAAAACCCCTCGTTTGGCGTCGTTGACTACTTTGAAGGCCAGGGCGCAGCCTTGCAGGTTCTTCATCACATTCTGGGACTCTGCATGCGCGACGGACTTCTTCTTCTGCTTACCCTTGGCAGATGCGGTCTTTTCGCTCGACTCTACGATGAGTTCGCCCGAGAGAAGGCGCTGCAAGCCTCCCTGGACCCCTCCAATGCTGACCTCCGGGTCGGGCGCCTCGACCGGACTCGGAAGGAGGTTCACCACGGCATCCAGCAGGGGCTGGACTCCGATGTTGCGGAAGCTGGCGCCCGCAAAGATGGGGACGATGTTGCTTTCTGGCTCCTCGAGGAGACACCGGCGCAGGCTCTCGAGGATGTCTTGCGGAGGAACAGCAAGATGGTCCTCGTCGCAGTCCAGGAACTTCTCCACCATTGCCTCGTCGTGCTCGCTCAGCAGTTCGACAAGCGCTATTCGGGCACGTCGGAGCTCCTTACCGAGCTGGGCCTCCTCGGCATCTAACTGCGCAAGGCTCAGCATCTTGACCACCTTGCCGTCCCCTTCTTGCCATCGGAGGCCTTGTAGGTTGATCGCGTCGGCCACACCGACAAAGCGACCATTGCCGTTTTCAAACCACGGAATCTGACACACAGCCGGGAAGCTCCCAAGTCGGGAGCCCACCTCTCTGACCGTCCGCCCAAATGCAGCCCCATCTCTGTCTAGTTTGTTGACATAGACAATTCGGGGGATGCGATACGTGCTTGCTTGGTGCCAGACTCGCTCCGTCTGCGCCTCGACACCGGCTACACCGTCGAGTATGCATACTGCGCCATCCAAGATGCGCAACGATCGCAGAACCTCGAATGTAAAATCCGCGTGTCCCGGAGTATCAATCAGATTGATCGTATGCGATGTCGCAGATCTGGGGGTCTGCACTTCTTGCTTATCACTCTCCCCAGCTGTTGGCGGCCAGTGGAAGGTAATGGCCGCCGATTGAATAGTGATTCCTCGCGCACGCTCAGCAGGTAGAAAATCAGTGACTGTAGATCCCTCGTCCACGTCTCCTATCCTTCTGGTAAAGCCACTATAATAGAGCATACGCTCCGTGGTGGTCGTCTTGCCTGCATCAATGTGGGCTATGATACCAATGTTCCTTGTTCGGTCCAGAATCTTCTCTTGCCATCTTGACGTAGATGTCGAGAAACCCTTTGATTGATATTGACTCTGGAGTAAACATATTTTGTCAGAGATCGTGGTCCGTCCTGTTCCCAACCCAAGGCGCTTGGCAGCATCAGCAGCTGCTCTAGGACGATTGGATCGCACCGCCTGGGGAAAGCCGCGCAGGAAAGGAGCTGCAACCATGACCGGATATCATTGACAATATATAAGCATTCAGTTGAAAGTATTCATTCTAATTCAGAATAAAAGAAGGGAAAAGAGAAATGAACACAGGAGATAAAGCAAATTGCGCGAGGGAGAGAGTTCAGAGTTGTTGTTACCTTATCCTTCGCTTCAGAAGCAGATCGATCAGTGAGTTGAATGCCTGGCCAATCAGGCGCCGATCCTCCCCAGCGACGTAAGGTTGTACTACCTCCGCCCCATGGCTTGCTTCAACGCTTCCCACTCTAGGCAGAGCTCGTCTCCCCATTTCCTCCACGTCGTGGCGGTTTTCCCTTCTCTCTTCATCTTTCCAAATACTTCAATCAGTTTTCTTAAGAGTCTACAGGTATTGTTATATCAATTCAGCTTCAAACCCCCTGGTCGTCGCCTGAACTAACAAGGTCGCGCCCGCAGCTCCGTGTAGACGTGGTTGCATCGGAGCCAGAAGACTACCTACTCCGCCTGAGGCATACATAACATCCCATGGACTATTCGGCCATAACTCAGGACCCGGATCATCCCTCGGGCTCTGATCCCTGGGCATCTCCTCGAGCGACTCAAACGTCTTACACTGCATCCAACAACAACGATATTCCCTCCTCGCCGCTACCCCCGCACCAGCAGCCCGGATACAATGGCGACCAGGAGGGCGATGACTCCGGACCAAGATCGTCCGAGAACGGAGCCCCCGACTCGCCTGATCTATCTGAACGACTTCAAAGTGCGCAATTAGGAGACCCTGACTATGCTGTTGAGCAGCCACCGTACGCTACACAAGCCCAGTATGCGAACGAGCCTCGGTCTCAGCTCCCCGCGCGGTATCAAACCGGAGCCAGACAGAATGCCAGACCTGGGCCTGCGTATAAGATCCAAGCTAAAATTACGGGACTGGAGAGGACGGGGAAGAAGGATCCTATCCTACGATTTGATGTTCATGTAAGCGGTGTTCTTGTGGCCGACTGTTCGCCTGCAGTAAAACAAACTGACGCCGGCCATCAGACAAATGTCCCCAAATTCAGAACGACACAGTACCGAGACGTTCGGCGTACCCATGCCGAGTTTACAAAACTAGCAGACCATCTGATCTCCGCGAACCCGGAGGTTCTCGTCCCCGCAGTGCCGCCTCCATTGACCCCCGCCGGGGCAGGGACCGAAGAGGACGAGATCCGAGTCAAGGCGTCGATGCAGCGGTGGCTCAACATTGTTATGAGCAATGAGGTTCTTATGCAGGATGACGAGGTGGTTCTGTTTGTCGAAAGCGACTTTGGCTATAGTCCTGTCGTTCGAATGAAGCAGCCTGCAACAGGTGTTCGGAGGAAGGTCCTGAAGCAGTTCGCGCCGCCGCCTGATGATACCCCTGAACTGCAGAATGCTCGGCCTATTGTGAAGATGTTCTACCTTGGAACCATGGATGCCAGCCATAAGGTTGACCGCGTGGTCAAAGCTCGTCGAGGTAGGTGGCTGATGCGTCTTTGACTGGAAGAGAATTCACTAACTGAAATTCCGCTCAGGGCTCGGCCTCGCTGAATCTGATTTCGGCGTCAAATTAGGACAGATGCACGTGCAGGAGACACACCCCGGCCTATCCAATGCCTACAAGAAATTGGGAAAGGTTATTCAGACCGTTGGAGACTTCCACGCGGTCCAGGCAACCGCAGAGGCGACTACACTTGAAGATCCCTTGAGCTATCATTCCTCGGACGCTTTTATTGTCAAGGAAACACTGACTAATCGTCACATCCTTCTGCGCGAACTCATCCAAGCTCAGCAAGCTACTCGCAGCAAGCGTGCAGCTGCGGACCGACTGAAAGTCAGCTCGTCGGTTCGGCCGGATAAGGTCGACGAAGCCATCAATGCCCTGGACGAGGCTCAGAGCCATGAGGACTATCTGACCAAGCGGACACAACGCGTCACTTCGAACCTTCTTCTGGAGAAGCGCGCCTGGTTTGAGCGTACCTCGAACGATATGTTGAACAGTCTGCGCGAGTATACCCTTCGCCAGATTGAAGCGGAGCGGAGAACTTTGGCTACACTCGAAAGTGTTCGTGCGGACATTCGATCTATCGACTCGTCCGGGGGTCTGAGCCGCCTAGGTCGTGAAGCACACCCGGCTGTCCGCCGGGCAAACCTCGCTTCCAGCCAAGGTCCTAAGGGAGACGCATGGAGTGGAATTCCGCGCCGTAATGACAGCCTCGGACGCAGCATGAGTGGTAGCTTCGTTGCGCCGGCAGCGGACGAGGACGACGAGACTAATGGGCAAGGCATCGCCAAAGGACGATTGCGGTCTCCCAGCGGCGTTGGCTCGATCGTGGGGGACGATGACGAGGACCGACTCGATGCCAAGAATGCCGCCAGCCGATTAGCCACCAGCACATTTTGATCTATTTCTGTAGATTATGGACATGATGTTGTTAAGATTCCCCTGTGACAACTAGTTTACTTCTGTGGTCTTTGCCTAGGCCAGAGCGGCCCCTGTTTGAGTTCCAGATGAATTACGCCCGTCGTTGATACTGTATCTGTTCTGTCTGTACAACAAAAGAGTATTTCCAGCCGTATCTGACATGCTCAGCTCGACTTCTTCTGCAAGTTCTCCAAACTCTCAGCCATGTCCGGCGAAAACTGATCCCACCGTTTAGCGCCATCATCAGGCAGATCAAACCACGCCACCTTCTCCTGCACAAAGAGATGACAAGTCGGCTTCGGGACCTTCGCTTGATGTGCACTGTCGATGGTCCCCGTAGTCACACTCAGAAGCTCGGGCTCGTAGTCATACTGCATACTAACGCTCGATCCGCACTTTGGACAGAACCCGCGGGTCGCAAAGGCACTGGATCTCCGGAATGAGGGCAACTTGCTCTTGTCCCAGGTGAGGGAGCCTGGAGCAAAGGTCGCCCAGCTCTGGAATGGTGCGCCGGATTGTTTGCGGCAGGTGGTGCAGTGACAATTTGTGACGTTTAACGGGGACTGGCTGGCCGTGTAAGTGACGTGGTGGCAGGCGCAGCTTCCTGTGATGAGGTCGGACGGCATTTTGTAACAGGTTCTAGGTGTTGTGTTGTACTGTGCTGTCCTCGCGGTTGGTGATAAACTGGGGATTATTTACATTTTGAACCGCCAGGATGAGATCCATGGGTGGGGGACTTGGAGGATGCTGCTTTTGTCAAACTGATTACCGTGGTGGACGTCATGAGGGGTTGTCCTCCTCGTATTTGGTTGTAGTTCTGACATCCTCGTATCATGTCATCTCTGTTTACGATACCTTTAGGTAGCACTGAGTTCGAATGCAGTGCTGTCCAAACAAGCACTCCACTTCCAATCAGCTTCTGCACTAATAGGATCCCCGAGCAATCATTTTGAGGATTGATGCTCTTCTCTGAAGTTCCGTTGGACCCCGCTCCCCACTTCTCGACAGCTCTCGAAGCTCTGATTGAGTCCTGTGCGGCGACGAGGGTCCCTCCTAACGATTGATTTCAAAGCAAGGGTGTGTGTAACTTGGAAATGTCCATGAGTTGCATTATTATGAATCCTTGCAGATCTAGAGAGGTATATAAGTGTGGTTAGGTTCCCACGCGTGTTGCTCGCAGCGTTGCTGTCTTAATTATTCCAAGCTATTTCGATACATCGGAGAAGGATTCAATATGGCTCCAAAGGTCTTTCTGTATGTTCAACCGCCCTGGCGATTTTGATAATACTCACCTTTGACCTCGTTTTCCAGCACAGGTGTTACCGGGTACATTGGTGGAGATGTCTTCTATGCGGTCTCCCAAGCGCATCCTGACTGGCAGATTTCTGTCCTGGTTCGCAACAAAGAAAAAGCGGCTCAATTTGCCAGTAAATACCCCAATGTCCGAATCGTGCATGGAGACCTGGACTCCGCCGACGTGATCGAGGAGGAAGTCAAGAATGCAGATATCGTCTTCCGTACGTGAGCATCCTTTGCTACAAGCGACCATTGACTCACGACGTACAGACTGCGCCGACTGCGACCATGTTGCTTCTGCCACTGCCATCGCCAAAGGCGCTACTCACCACACCCCTGAGAAGCCCCTCTGGCTAATCCATACATCTGGCACCGGCATTCTGACCGTCGAAGACTTCCGCGCCAACACCTGGGGCATCGAGCGCACCAAGGAGCATAATGACTGGGACGGAGTAGACGAGCTGATGAACCTGCCCGATGACTCCTTACACCGGAACGTCGACAAGATCATCATCGGGGCCGGTCAGCACGCCCCCGACAGGGTCAAGACCGCCATCGTCTGCCCCCCTACCATTTACGGCCCCGGTCGTGGTCCCGGCAACCAGAAGAGTGTCCAAGCCTACTGGCTGGCTTCTGCCGTACTGAAAAGGAAGAAGGGCTTCCTCATCGGCGAGGGCAAGAATACCTGGCACCAGGTGCACGTCCAGGATCTCAGCAATGTCTACCTGGCCCTAGGGGATGCCGCGGCGGCAGGAGGCGGCAAGGCGACCTGGAACGAGCAGGGGTACTACCTCGCCGAGAACGGGTCTTTTGTCTGGGGTGATATTTCGCGTGCTGTGGCCAAGGTGGCTTACGAGAAGAAGCTGATTCCGTCTCCTGATGTTGAGCCATTGTCAGACGAGCAAATCACGGAGCTGAATCAGTATGGGCTGTATGCTTGGGGGAGCAACTCGCGCGGCCATGCCATACGCGCGAGGAAGCTGTTCGGTTGGTCGCCTCAACAGCCTAGTTTGATGGAACTTATCCCTCAGATTGTGGAGATTGAGGCTAAAGCTTTGGGACTGATGTAAGCGTCAGAAAAATATGCATGATCAACATATTTCATGAAAACGACTGCAGAATACGCTTTTGGCGTCGGATGTGTGGTTGTAAACGGACAACAGACTGTGGTCACTTCTTTTTCATTCAACTATAGGTGTTAATAGCAAAATGACTCCGTAATGAAAGCAAATTTCATAAGAGAGCTATGGTAGTAAAACAGGGAATAATCGAGGAAGAAAATAACCTACAACGGCGGCGGGATAACCTAAAAAGCTTAGCGCCGATAAATACATTAAGCGACCCAAACGCGCCAATCGCTCCGTAGCCGCGATCCTCCCTGTATGCTTGGAATTACGTTTTGCTGGAGCTCTCTCCGGTTCTTTGATCGATTCAGCCAGCAACACCACCACTCGTCCCCGCACTATTTACCACCGCAGGTTGTCCTTTCCATCGTATCTTTCTCTTCATCTCATATATGCATTTCTGCTTTTAGTTGTTGGTTTGACTTCTGGCATGTACTGACAGTTTCACCTACAAAGACCCGCTCCATGAGTTGCGACCTGTCGGAAATTTCGCGGTTTTTTCTATGAGGTGTTAGATTGGACGAAGCTGTCATGGCTCCAGGTGCCGGAGGAAAGAGGAAGAGAGGCGACAGATCGTGGTCTGGCGACCCCGGCAACGACGGACTACGGCCTTCCCCCCACCGACCGGGCACTCTCAACATGGCGCAACACAATCACGGCTCGCATTCAAATCACCCTCGCGACTTTCCAGAAACGCGCGGTCGCGTACGGAGACAGTCTAGTCGAGGCGGGAGGAACAGTAATAATCTCAGCCGACGACCTAGCAATGACATTTCCAACGTCACCGCTGGACAGAAGGATACGGCCATGTCTCCGCCTGCCAGAGATGTGCCTGATGCGAGCCAGACAAACGGGGTTTCACCGTCGGTAGTAGCATCTAGTGTACAGCCCTCGCCGTCTCCTGCGCCGAGCTTACAGCAAACGCCTGCACCAGCGCAGGCGTCCCCAAAGCCTCAGTCACTGTCACTGTCGTCGCCTGCTCCTCCCGTCAAGCCTCCGCCGGGTCCACCGCCGCCTTACGATTACGAATATGTCACAGATAGTATAGTTGAAGATTGGACGTCAACAGGAAGACAGAAGGTCATTACGGATGGCGTGCAGGCGAGGGACCAGGAGGATGCGTCGACATTGGCTTCGACCTACCAGGAACTGATCCGGTCTGCATTCTACGGCCGGTTGTCACCCACCGACGCCGGAACGATGATCAAGGAGATTCTTGGTGAAGAGGTTGCGGATCAAGATGTTGATTTGGTTGACGACGGGCAGTCCTCAACAGTTCTCGACACACGCTCTTTGTTCCTGGACACCCTGTCTATTCTTACTGATGCCGATCCTAGCAATCCTGCCTTGAGACCGTTGGTTTTCTCCACAGGAATCAACGCAGCTCTTTTGCGCCTCCAACTCGAGACCCCCGTCCTTCAAACGCTGGGTCTTGTTCGTGACACCTTTACTCGCATCGGCATCCGTAAACAAACCAATCTTCTGTACCGACAGTCAAACTACAACTTGCTGCGGGAGGAGTCGGAAGGGTACTCCAAGCTGTTAACCGAGCTTTTCACCACTAGCAACAACGAACCACCCACCAGCGAGGTTGTTGAAGATACCTTCGAGAGGGTCAAGGCTATGATAGGAGCCTTTGATATGGACGTTGGCCGAGTTTTAGATGTCACGCTCGATGTCTTCGCCGCAGTGCTTGTGAAGCAATATCGCTTCTTTGTTAAGCTTCTCCGAGTTAGCTCCTGGTGGCCCAAAGACGATATTTCCCGCACTCTTGGTGGTGATGACAGAGATTCTGGCCTACCAAATTGGGCACTACCTGGTTCCGCAGGGTGGGCCACAACGGACGAGGAACGAGCTGAGATCATGCAAGCCAATGAGCAGCGCGATCGCGAGTTTTGGAACAGAGTCAAAGAGATTGGTATTCGAGCATTTTTCGAAATTGGACGGAAGCCGATCTCCGAAGACGAGAGAAAGCGTATATTTCCAGAAAACACGAATCTGTCAGAAGAAGAGCTGGAAACACGGAAATGGATCGAAGAGACAGGAACTCTACCCCCCAAAGGGAACAGGGTCGCAGCGCAGCTTCTTGGCTTCAAGCTCCGCTTCTACTCGTCGAGAGCGCGGGACAAGTCTGATATCCTCCCCGACAACCTCATCTATCTGGCGGCCCTTCTGATCAAAGTCGGTTTTATCTCGCTTCGTGACTTGTACCCTCATCTCTGGAGACCTGACGAATTGATGGACGACCTGAAGGAGGAGAAAATGAAGGAAAAAGCAGAAAAAGAAAGAGCTGCGCGGCCGGGTGGAGGTGTAAATGCTTTGATGATGGCTGGTGCTCTGTCAGACGATACGTTACCAATTCCACGCATTCGGGAATCAGAACAACGGTCATCTACTCCTGCAAAGGACCAAGAAGCGGACAAAGCCACCCCACAGAAGATGGATGAAGATGAGCTGCCAGAGCCCTCGGATCAGAAGGTGATGCTGCTGAAGAGTCTGCTCGCCATCGGAGCCCTCCCAGAGTCTCTCTTTATCCTAAGCAAATTCCCTTGGCTTATG